TGGATTTATATAGTGTATAAACAGAGCGAGCCCTGCTTTTATCTATCTATGGATTTATATAGTGTATAAACAGAGCGAGCCCTGCTTCTATCTATGGATTTATATAGTGTATAAACAGAGCGAGCCCTGCTTCTATATATGGATTTATATAGTGTATAAACAGAGCGAGCCCTGCTTCTATCCAACTATGGATTTATATAGTGTATAAACAGAGCGTGCCCTGCTTCTATCTATGGATTTATATAGTGTATAAACAGAGCGAGCCCTGCTTCTATATATGGATTTATATAGTGTATAAACAGAGCGAGCCCTGCTTCTATCTATGTGGAGGGACAATGAGTCAGGTCCACATAGTCATCTGTAAATGGAGAGAGATATTTGGTCTGAATCCGCAATATGGTCGGTGCATATTGAGAGTTCTCTATTTTCGTTCTTGGAATTGGCCGTGTTCGTTCAGGTTGTGACACATAGAAAGCCACGTCAAGTTTTACAATTGGTGGAAAGCAGGTGTAGAGATCCAGCGCGTTACGCTGTGTGAGCTGGTTGGGTAATAAACTGGGCCTGTGAAAGTCAGTGTAATTTCTCAGGGTCTCCTGGCCTCACGGTAATCATATCCTAAGCAAACTATGGATTTAAACTCCGTATGTTTCCATTCCAAGCAAATCCAAAAATAAAGTATATTATAAAAAAAAAAAATCCAGGAAATCCAGATCTCGTAAAGCAGTTTTTAATAGGCAATGTCAACTTCAAAACCATAATATCCATGAATACGTGTACTGAGATATAGATGGGTGGATCGACAGATTGATAAAATGATGACGGGCAGACAATCAGTCAGCAATTCTTGGGTTATAAAGTGATTATAATACTGGTGAGGTTTTGGAAACTTGGCCATGTGATACGTTTGGGTTATATTCTGCACATTGTGAAGTTCTCCGATCACAATAAGAAAGGATACATATATAGCATTGGTTAAAATCGAAATCTATACTTAATGTGTCATTCAAATGTAGATTCAACCCTCCCGAAAGTGCTCTGATTATTGCAGAGTATGGTTAAATGATATACCATGCATCGCTTAATCCTTTAATATCACACATCACCTCTGCGTAATAAATAGCAAATCATTCTATAATAACCAACGTTCTAGACTGCCACAATCACAGACAGATCCTAGGCCACAGATTAGGAACTCACATCAATGTGTAGTTTATAAACTTTACATTTACTAATGACAATGTGTCCACATTCATTATGAGCTGCTCTTAAAGGACTACTGTCACCACAAAACCATTTCTCATCTAATAATCCAGTCATTGTGTTTAAAAAGGCAATGGATTTTTTAATTTTTTTTTAAATGAAGGATATTTTAAAAAGGGAAACAAATTGCTATGTGTAACAGCACACTATGTTTAGTAAATAACAGAATCCGTCAGCCATATACATTCGCCTTGGGTCAGACAGTGTGTGAATGTGATAGTCTCAATGGTCCTCCCTCACGTCCCAATAACTGTCACATTCATTCACTGTCTGACCCAATAACTGTCACATTCATACACTGTCTGACCAAATAACTCACATTCATACACCGTCTGACCCAATAACTGTCACATTCATACACCGTCTGACCCAATAACTGTCACATTCATACACCGTCTGACCCAATAACTGTCACGTTCATACACTGTCTGACCCAATAACTGTCACATTCATACACTGTCTGACCCAATAACTGTCACATTCATTCACTGTCTGAACCAATAACTGTCACGTTCAATCACTGTCTGATCCAATAACTGTCACATTCATACACTGTCTGACCCAATAACTGTCACGTTCAATCACTGTCTGATCCAATAACTGTCACATTCATACACCGTCTGACCCAATAACTGTCACGTTCAATCACTGTCTGATCCAATAACTGTCACATTCATACACTGTCTGACCCAATAACTGTTACTTTTCATGACCTGTATATCAGCATAAAGAAATGGTAGGTACCAGGAAAATGTGGTGGTTTTGGTATGCAATCAGAGCGCTGTCATTGCGGAGAAACTGACCGTTTTCTTGTGGTATTTTAGATCCTACCTAACATTTCAAGGCACCCATGGCCATTACTGGTAACAATTAAATGAGGTTGCGAGCAGCATGGGAAGTGAGCAGCCAACAGCAACTGTTACCCTAGTTCCCAGCAGGGATTTATGGGATACGTAGTTCAGTACTGGAAGCTGTCTAATTCCTGCAAAGAGATAAATGTAACGTCAGCCCAAGCTTACAGAGACAGAGCTTAGAATGGCACGCAGGAGTCCGTGGTACTGGTGGTGATGGGATTTAACACTTGGGATTCCCCACGGCGCAGGTCCAGCTGCTTGTAAACGCGGAATCATTAGCTTGGGCCGCAGTGACAGATTTAGAGTGTCGGCTCACATTCTCAGCCAATCCCTGGCCACCCATAGTGACTACGGCTTCATAAATATACTAACGTATCTGAAGCATTACTTGCTAATTTAATTATTCCACATTTACAAGGACGGCAGGAGAGAAAGACAAACCGGCGCCAGGGGGACTGCACATCACTTATTAAACTGAACACAACTTCACACTGAAAGGTAAAACGGTGAGGGCACCATTACCACTTCAGCCTGGCATGTTTAAACTGATTACTCTGTGTTTATTTAATTATTAAATCTGCATATTTTGTTCTAAAGCTAAATAAAAAGATGTCTTCCGTTTTGGGAGGAAATTATGCGCATCAAAGGAATATAATATATAGATATATTTTTTTTTAAATCTTGCACAATGGAATTCTGGAGCTGATGCGCACACACCCCAGGTTGTGATTGGCTGCTGGCATCACATGGTCCCTGCAACTGTGTTACTTTTTATTTCCTGGCTAATCATGGCAGCATTTAACATATGGGTTTAGCTCCTCCCTCCAACCCTCAGGACAGGAAACACAATCAATTAAACAATTAAGCCTACCTTCCCCTAGTATATTAGGTACCCCAGTATCCCCCATACCTCAGTCTTTTCCTGTCCTCCTAGCCCTAGGACAGTTTAAATATTTTTTATTTTTTGCTCACCTGACCATGTTTTATATGGTCTTGTCCCTTTGGAGGTCAGCCTCCCTCCTCAGGAAGCCCAGGCACATGTAGCCCAATCTCCATGGAGTTGGGAACCCCTGGGAGCCTGGGTGGTTAGTTCCACAGGCTATGGGAATCCTCTGCAGTCCAGTGTGTGCTGCAGACCTCGATCAGACGATCAGCATAACGGTAAGACGCCCGCGCATGCGCAATGCATCCGACCGGACCCAGAGTGAAGTTTGCCCCTTTCCAAAATGGCGGTTTAGCGATCTCGCGACCGAAGTGCGCATGCGCGATCATTTAAAGGTACAGAGCGGGAAATTTGAAATGGCGGTATTTAGCTTAAAAAACGCTCGTTTCCGTTCCCTTTAAAGATACAGTGCTCTAGTAGACTGTTCTTAAAGCTCTGCAGGTAAGAGAATTACTTATATTTTAAAATCAGCATAATATTGGGCTGGGAATACTTTTCTTATTATTTTAACATTCTTAGCCCTACAGTCAGTATGGATCCTTCATCCCCTTCTGCAAGATCAACGAGATCTGCTATAGGTCATAGGTGAGCAATATTTTTTCTTGGTTTCTTCACGTTACTAAAAAGAGTGCACAGAGGGTACAGTCTTATGACTTCTGTATCTTACAGCCCTCGTGACCGGTCCTGTCCCAGATCCCCATCGAGGAGAAGGGAGAAGCCGGCAGCCTGCCCTGGATGTGGAGCAAGGCCTTTGGATAACTGCAGGCTCTGCAGAAAATGCTTAAACATGGCCGCAGGAGAATCTGATCGCCAGAGGTCACCGCAAGCCTCTACCTCCTCAGCCAAGGATATTGCTTATTGGATTAAGCAGGCAGTGGTTGAAGGAATTGCTGAATCCCACAAGATTAAGAGATCAAGAGGGGAAAACTTCAGCATGGATTCAGATCAGTCTGACGATGAATACAGACAAACTTCATCTTACCTGGATTTAGAGCCAATCTCGTCCAGTGAAGAGGAGTATATGGAACAACCTTGCTCCTTGGACTCCAAAGCTATGGAGCATTTGATTATGGCTGTTAGAAGAACATTGGATTTGCCGGAAGAAACCAGAGAATGTTCAGCTTCTGACAGACACTTTGGAGATTTACATAAGAAAAGACCTTCCTTTCCAGTCCACAGCTCTATTAAAGACCTGATGAGGAACGAGTGGCAAATTCCTAGTAAGAGGATTACTAGTCAGGGTCGGCTTTCGAAGTTATATCCGATTAAAGAGGAGGATTCCAGATTGTGGACTACGGTCCCCAAAGTTGATGCTCCTATCATTAAGGTTGCTAAAAGATCCACGCTACCAATTGATAGCAATGCTTCCCTTAAGGAGCCCATGGATAAAAGGATTGATGCTGATTTATCTAAAGCTTTCATGACAGCGGGTTTAGGTTGCCATCCAGCTGTGTCCATTTCGGCTTTGTCTAGAGCCATGCGTTCCTGGTTGCTTGACTTGGAGGATGACATAGATAAAGGGTCAGTAGACGTCAGATGGCGGAATCCTTAAGGGATATCAAACTCGCCAGTGACTGGCTTTTGGAATCCTCCACTGACCTCATTAGAATTCTTTCTAAGGTTATGGCACATTCAGTCACCGCTAGAAGGGCGCTTTGGCTGAGATCCTGGGGAGCAGACCTGTCATCCAAGAATAATTTATGCTCACTTCCCTTTATGGGAGAAGTGCTTTTTGGGAAACCTCTGGATGAAGCGATTAAAAAGGCGGCCGAGGTTAAACAGGTCATGCTGCCACAAGATAGGCGTCCAAAGAGACCTCGTCTGGACCGTAGACCTTTTAGGGATCAAGGCTACTTTAGGGAAAGTAAGACTTACAGGCCAGGTAGAGAATTCTCAAGGAATTCCAATTGGAAGAGCGGCCTGAATGGGAAATCCTCTAGGGGCAAGACGCAGACCTCTTCCTTTCGCCCCAACAAGCAATTCTGAAGGTGGCTTACTCCAGGTTCCTCGAGTGGGAGCACGTCTTTCATTCTTTCAGAGGGCCTGGGAAATAATTCCAGATGCTTGGGTAAGATCCATTATCACCGGAGGTTATCATCTGGAATTCGACGAATATCCACCTCCACCAAGGTTTATTCGCACAAGGCTTCCAGCCAACATCCAAAAAAGAGAGGTTTTGACTCTTTATGTCAACAATCTTCTTACGGAAGAAGCCATCATACCTGTACCCATAAAAGAAAGATTCCAGGGATATTATTCCCCCCTGTTCTTGGTCAAGAAGCCAGAGGGAAAATGGAGGCCTATTTTAGATCTCCACCAGCTCAACCTTTATCTGAGAGTCAGAAAATTTCGGATGGAATCCATTCGCTCCATCATTCCGGTTGTTCATCACCAAGATTGGATGATATCAGTAGACCTCAGGGATGCATATTTTCATGTCCCTATCACGTTCACCCATCAAAGGTTTCTCAGGTTTTGTGTCCGGAAGGAACACTTTCAATTCCAGGCCCTTCCTTTTGGTATAAGTACGGCCCCGAGGACCTTCTCGAAGGTTCTGGTCACCATCATTGCTTTGCTCAGAAAAGAAGGGGTAGCGGTGTTTCACTACCTGGACGACATCCTGGTAGTGGCTCCGGACCTAGCATCAATATTCCAACACAGGCAATTAGTCCTAGACACTCTATCTCATTTCGGTTGGCTCATCAATTACGAGAAGAGTCACTTGAATCCTTCAAGAGAACTGATATTCCTGGGAGCAAATTTCAATACAGACACAGCGATTGTATCCCTCTCACACGACAGAAAGATCAGACTTCGAGATCGGATAAGGGACTTCAGACTAAAGACTTCAGCCTCGGCAAGAGAGTTTATGAGGCTTCTGGGGACTCTTTCCTCTACGATAGAACTTGTCAGATGGGCTCAGTGGAACCTTCGCCCTCTTCAACAATTTTTCCTAAAAAATTTCAGGACCGACTCGAGGGAGTGGGAGACGCTGATTCGCATTCCTTTGATTCTGAAGCAGAAGCTCCTTTGGTGGAAGTCATGGGAAAATCTCTCCAGGGGGTTCCCCTTGCGGGAAATAGATTGGGTGGTCATTACGACAGATGCCAGTCTGACAGGTTGGGGGGCACATTTAGGCAATCAATTTTTTCAAGCAAATTGGCCTCCAAGAACTCAATGCTTGCCTTCCAACATCAGGGAGCTAAGAGCAACCTTTCTGGCGCTTCTTCATTTTCAGCGTCTCATCAGGCATTGCTGGGTCAAGTTGAGAGTGGACAACAAAGCGGCGGCTGCCTACATAAACCATCAAGGCGGAACAAGGAGTGTAGCCCTGATGAGAGAGATAGTTCCCATTATGACCTGGGCTCAGAATCATGTGGAAGGCCTGTGTGCCATCTATCTCCCAGGGAAGGAGAATGTAATAGCGGATTTCCTCAGCAGACATCGGATAGAGGCTTCAGAATGGCAACTTTCCAGGAGAATCTTCGCTCGGTTGGTCCAGAAGTGGGGTCTTCCCCAAGTAGACCTCATGGCGACCTTTCGGAATGCTCAGGTTCCATGCTTTGTGTCGAGGAGATACCATCCAAAGGCGGTTGCTCAAGATGCTCTATCCATCAATTGGGTATTCGATCTGGCTTACGTTTTTCCTC